CCAGCTCCTTTATTTCTTCCTTTCAATACAGACACTGTAGCTCTCCGCCCTCCTCCAAAAGCCAAAAATAGTTACTCCTGTGCCCAACAGGATCCCGTTAATTTTCCGCAATCACGGCCCACACTCCAATAGCGCTTTCAGGTTTACAAAACGCTTTGCTCACCATAACCTTTATGATATTGGTATGATAATATCGCCGCCTCACTTTTACAGAGAAGGAAACTGAGGTCCCAAAAGGGGCAGCAACTTGCCCACAGTTATGCAGCTAGGACAAATCCATTGGGATTTGAAGTCAAGTCTCCCAAATCCAAGGCCAGGCCTCTGCATACCCTATGTAGCCTTTCTACCCTGCGGAAAGGAAGCAGCTCAGCCCTTGTAGGGGTAGAAACAGTTCTCAATGGATCATTCCTGCTTTCAGCTAGATAACTTGACTTTAGGGAGAATACAAAAGAGCCTAAGAGAGCAGAGGGCTCCCTCACCTTACTCCTTTCTAACGAAATCAACCCAAGACATGCTTATTTTGTTCTGTTTCACAACAAGCAGGTGGTCTGTGCAGAAAAAACCTCAAACAAACAAAAAACAAAAACCTCTTTTCAGAATGCATATTGCAATATGAAACAACTGTGACATATCGCCAACAGGGAGTAGTGGATGGAATATGGTGCTGGGGCCTGGGACATCAGGGTTCTAGTCTCAGCTCTGCCCCTTTACTGGCCATTCATTTCACCTCTGAGGGCCTCCATTTTCTCCTCTGCCAAGTGAAGGGGTTGGGTTAGATTGACTGAAAGGCCTCCTCCAGGTCTAGAATGTAGCTGCCCTTGACGGGTTCAAGTCACCAAGTCCAAAGCAAGCACGTGGCAGGCTACTGGGAGGACTTGTAGATGTCATCCACTGACACGGACAATGGTCAGTCATCTTTGAAAGATCATGGAGAGGTGCACTAGGCCTGCAAGAGGAGGGTAAATGTCCTGATTTTCAAAAAGGGGAAAAGAGAAGTCTGAAAACTATAGCCTGGTGACTTTGTCTGTGATTTCTGGCAAAATGGTATCTTGTTATTAAAGGGGTGGCTAAGGAACATCTGGAAAAGGAAAAGGTGACCACCAAGAACCATTATGGCTTCATCAAGAACAAACCATGCCAGACTAATCTCATTTCCTTTTTCTCACAATTACAACATTAGAACAGGGAAGTTTTCTGGATAAAGATGGCCAAGATTGCTTTACTTTTAGATTTACTTTAATAGATTACTTTAGCAAAGCCCAATCAAAATGTCTTGTGCTATTCTTGTGGACAAGATGGAAAGATGTGGGCTAGATGAAACTACAGGGAAACAGATTTCGAATTAGTTGAATGGCTGGACCCCAAAAATGACTGTGAATGGTTTTATTTCAATCTGGAAGGAAGGAAGTCTTTAGTAGAGTTCCCCAGAGATCTGTGCTTGGTCCTGTGCTGTCTAACCTTTTCATCAATGACTTGGATTGAGACACAGATGACATGCTTCTCAAATTTGGAGATGTTACATAGCTGGGCCGGAGAAATAAGAGAATCATAGATGACAGGGTCAGTATCTCAAAGTATCATGGCAGGCTAGAACACTGTGCTGAGTCCAATAAGGTAAAACGTAATATTTAATTAATTAACTGATTAATTAGTATTCCTAAAGGTTAATTTCAACATCTGAGTTTAAAAGGTCAACTTTACAAGTACAAGATGGGGCAAGTCACAGTTCCTATTGGGGATCTGGGAGTTTTAATAGGCTGTGAGATCAACATGAATCTACAGTGTGATATGGCACTGAAAAAAAAAAGGAATATGATTTTAGGCTATATTAAGAATGAATGAATGGGGGTAGCTAGGTGGCACAGTGGATAGAGCACCAGCCCTGGAGTCAGGAGGACCTGAGTTCAAATCTGGTCTCAGACACTTGACACTTACTAGCTGTGTGACCCTGGACAAGTCACTTAACCCCATTGCCTAGCCCCCTCCCAAAAAAAAGTGAATGAATGAATGAATAAAAAAATAATCAAGCATTTACTATGTGCAAAGCACTGTAAGCGCTGGGGAAATAACTAGAAAAATAAGTCAATGTCTGCTCTCAAGGAGGTCACACTCTAGTAGAAGCATAATGTCTAGGGCTCAGGGAATAATGGGCCCACCGGACTCTGCTCTGGACTGACCATATATAGAGCACTACATTCACTAGGTCACCGGTCAGCTCAAGAACATTCAGGGGAGGGTAATCACGATGCTGAAGGGCCTTAGGTTCATATCATATAAGTATCATCTGAAGGAATTGGGTCTATGTAGTCAGGAGAAGTGATGACTGGAGGGGGCATGACAGCTGTCTGCTGTCATGGGCAAGACAGATTTGATTTGTTCTGTTTGGTTTCAGAGCCAAAGGGGCAGGAATCACAAAAAACCCAAACAAACAAAAAAGCAAATTTAGGTTTGAAATAAGGAAAAAATACCAGTAATCTGAGCTATCCACAAGTAGAAATGGGTTGGGGGGGGCAGTAGGTTTCTCCTCATTTGAGGTCTTTAAGCAAAGGCTGATCACCTGTTGTATTTGTTTTTAAAGAGGTTTCCTCCTCATGCATGCTTTGCACCAGATGGCCTCTGAGGTCTCTTTCAATTCTGAGACTCTGTGATTCCAGCTTGGTTTTATGTTTAAAGGGGGGGAGGCGAGAAAGCTTTCTTTGCAATGTCCACTCAAATCACAAAACCCCCAAATTCTAAAAGACCTTACATAACTACCCCGATGTGTTAATAGTCCTTAGACAGAACATCGACAGCATAATAGCAGTCCAGATTTCTGGACTCTTAATTTTTTCATTCAGAGGCAGAAGTGGTAAAGTCTGAATATAGAAAATCTCTCCCGTTATTGCACAGCCTTGATTAAACCCTCAATTTCAGCAATGAGATGGAAACCAAACTTATTTTATGCCTGACAAAGGCAATTGATTGGATTGATTTCTTTAAGAGTTCTTTTTGCATTTTCCATAATGTTTTTAAAAAGGAGCTTAGCTCCTTACACCAATCAAATTCACAAAGATGGTGGGAGATGGAAATAATCATGTTAGAGGGGCTGCTGGAAGACAGACACACTAATGCACTATGGGTATGAGCTATGAACTGGTTCAACGATTCTGGAAAACAATGTGATATTTCACAAGAAAAGCCACAAAACCGTTCTTGCCCTTCAATACCATGATCCTACTATTGGGTTTATTACCCCAGTGAAGTCAATGATAGAGACAACGGTCTCACGTATACCAAAATATTAATAGCAACACTATTTGTAGTAGCAAGAGGCTGGAAACAAATCATGTGCCCAATGATTGGGGAATGGTTGAACAAAGTACAGTATATAAATGAATGAAAAGCATGAAGCGTTTCTTTATTAAGTGCTTTCTATGTGCCAATAGATATGAATATAGTTGAATATTATTGTGCTATAAGAAGCAATAAATACGAAGAGTTCCACAGAAACACCGGAAGACCTGTATGAACCCATGCAGAATAAAACAAACCAAGAGAACAATATACACATTTAAATAATGTAAATCAGAGGTATCAAACACACAGCCCAGGTAAGTCCAGAGTGCAGCCGAAACTAGAATAAAATGGAACTGGGAAATATTTAACAAAACAAATAAGAACACGATAGAACATACATAATGTTAACATATGGTTTTCTAAATCAATATGTGGCTGCAGGGATCCTTGCCTGTGGTTTAGCTGTGACATGCAAGGAAGGGTGAACTGCAAGGCCCACACTGGATTTCAAGGTATAAATGTATGCCAGCAAAGCCCCTGCTTCTATACTTCTATATTTGAGTATGAAAACACTGACATAAACAAAGACAATAGAATTCTGGTAAAATCCATTGGCCAGTGCTGGTTCCTTGAGGATGTGAGTTAAAACGTAATCTTTACTTCCTGTTTATAAACAGAAAACCATAAGAAGTGAAAGTGATATAGGATGTTATTTACTGCTGTTAGGTTAAATGATTTGGTTTGCCTTTTTTATTTGAAGGTTTCTATGGTAGAGGGTATTTATTAGGAAGTGATTGATTTGTCAAAATAAAATGCATAATGTATACATCTATATGTTTGTATATATGTATGTGTACACACACACACACACACACACACACACACACACACACACACACGCGCGCGCGCGCGCCCGCACACATGAATGAGGTGAAGGAAATTTTTTTCCTTGCTATACAGACTTGAATCACCAGGGAAAGAACCAGAAACAAGGCTGGAAAAGAAGACAGCCTCTTTTTTGGCTGCTTTTTTCCCCCAAATTGTGTGTAGGCCACCAGTGCACTAAACTGCTCTCCCCAGTCTATGGGGAAAGGGGGAAGGCGATTATATGCATCCCCAAATCTTGGGGACAGGGAAGAGGGAACTCAGCTATAATTGATGGGGTGGGGGGCGCTCCGTGTCACGAGTCATGTTAAGACTCTGAGGTGAGGGGATGGGGGACACAGCAGTGCCCTTGTATAGGGAATGGAATAGGAACATGGTGGGATCCCAGTGTATGAGGATAATAGGGTCTTGGCTTCAAGGCAGAAAGGGTCCTTAGAGATCATCTACTACACCCCCTCATTTTATAGATGAAGAATCCAAGGCCCAGAGAGGCGAAGCCTCTGTATTGCCCAAGGTCATACAGGTAGTTAAGTGGCAGATCTGCGATGTGACTCCATCCTCAGCGCTCTTTCTGGATGCAGGGAATGCGGCGGAACCTCAGTGTGAGGGACATGGGTGGGGGCGGTGGGGGAAGTAGGGAGCCCAGGCTGGGGGCACAAGGCACAAAATGGGCAGAAGAAGGGGGAAAGGGGACCTAGCTTGGAGAAGGGGTGCAGACGCCCAGATCAGGACCGGGGAGGGGGCAGAAGCTTTGGGCAAGAAGCAAGAGGCGGGGCCCCCATGGGGACTCCATAGACACGGGGGGGGGCGGGGAGACGCCCCCGCCCACTCCCACTTACCCACGCACATCTCGAAGACATAGGCGTAGTAGGACCAAAGCACAACGAGCACGATGACGAGCACGGGCACCCAAGCCAGCATGCGGCGGCAGCACCGCAGCCCCCCGGACAGAGCCATCTTCCAGCCCCGTCGCATCCTCTGCTCGAAGCTCGACCCAGCAGGCCTGGCAGCTCTAGCGCGGTGAGGGCTAGGGAGACGGGGGGAGGAAGGGCAGGCGGACCCGTGCGGCGCTCTACTGCAAAGCCTGGCGGGCCTCCCCTGGCGCGACAGCGCCACCCCGCGGTCTCTTCTTCGCATGGTCGGGCGAGTCAAAACCCCCCAAAAAAACAAAACATAAAACACAAAACACGAAACGCAAAACGCAAAACGCAAAACACAAAACACACACACACACACTCACATTCACAAACAAAAAAAAAAACAACACCGGTCAGGTGGTGCTGCAGTGGCCGGGCCTGGAGTCAGGAACACCTGAGTGTGGCCCTGGGCAAGTCACTTCACCCTGTTTGCCTCGGTTTCCTCCTCTGTAAAAATGAGCTGGAGAAGGAAATGGCAGACCACTCCGGCATCTTCGCCAAGAAAACCCCCAATGGCGTCACGTGGAGTCGGACGCGATGAAACGACTGAACAAGTCAGGTGATAAGGATGGGAGGTCAGAGGGATCCTGGGATTCCAAGGGGGGGGACAGGACCTCCACGATCATGTACGTTCAGGTTCCCCACCCCTGAAGTCCAATCCTCTCATTTTACAGAGAAGGAAACAGGCCAGGGGAGGATATGCTGCTAAAAATCACAGATTTAGGACCTTTGGACCTTTCTGCTGTATGGATGTGGAAACTGAGGCCCAGAGAGGGCAAGTAATAGAAGTAATAGAATGTCAGAACATGTGTGCATATATCCATGTAGTCTTCTCCAGCAGAATATAAGCCTCTAGAGAACAGGGACAGTTTGCCTTTTTGTGATTTCAAGCAACCACCGAGCATTTATTAAACATCCACTATGGGCTGGGTGTTGGAGATGATTGTTTATTTTTAAACTGACAGTCATATAGTATTTGATTTACACTATCATTTGGTCATCACATTTTATAGCTGAGGAAACTGAGGCTCAGGGAGGTTACCTTACTAATAGTTTCAGACATAGAATTCAAACTCAGATCCTCCTGACTCAAAGGCCAGCATGCTATCTACTATACCAACTGCCTCTCAAAGGTCATAGAGTCTAAGTTTCAAGCTGGGAAGGACCTCAGAAGCCAGATGGCTTCTAGTCTGACCTCATTTTACAAATGAGGAAACTGAGCCCAGGGAGGTAAGTGATTTGCCCAAGCCTACAGAAGTAGTAAGCAACAGAAGGAGGCTCCTGGAATCCAAACCCCTTACTTAGAGAGAAGAAAACTGGCTGGGGGAGCAAAGCAGTTTAGATTATAGAATGTCAGAGGTGGAAAGCATATTTAAAAACATCAGGTAGCGCCTCAGCATTTTACAGATGAAGAAAAAGAAAAGAACTAGTTGTCCAAGGACAGACAGAGAGTAATTCAGGCCCATCCTCCCAGTCCAAGGCCACCACCCCTGCCACACTAGCAAGAGAATGCACTAGCTGCTGTGCATTTCTAAATTGATTCCAGCCCCTTGTTTTTCCAGACTAGCTCCCTCCTTGCCCTGCCACAGGGCAGGTCTTTGGCAACACATTGTGAAATGTACGCGAGTATTATTAATGAAGACATAACTATTTCTGGGGGAAACACTGGATCAACAGTAACCTGGGCCCAGAGTTGAACCAAAGGAAGTTGGTTGGCTGGATTGCCACAGGGAATTAACACAAGGCTTTTCATGATTCCAAAATTCTCCCTGGTTTAAAAAAAAGGGGGGAGGGCCCAGGTTTTCAATAAAAAAATGTTCCTCCCCTGCAATGCTGGATGGTTAAGAAAATTGGAAAACATTGGGCTTTGAGGGATCAAAGTCACAGGTGACCCAAAGGCCAACAGTGAGACACATTGTGGGTTCAAGAAAGGTACAGTGTATTTTCAGTAATGACCTCTGTTCAGAAGTGGTGAGAGTGAGGGCTGCCAAATGGACAGCCTGAGTGCTGCCTGGCTACCCCCAGAATAGAAGAAGATCCGGAGGATGGCCCCCAGCATATGGGGTGGATGCTTTGTTGAGGATATATGGGGTAGCAGGGACACAAAGCACAATTTGATAAGGTGTGGATGTTTATGAAGTACGTGGAAGGAGGGTCTGCAGGGCCTGTGCTGGATTTCAAGGGAGGAGTGGAAGCTGGTAAGTAAGTTGAGAATGGTAGAATTAAGCTCATTGCTAGAAATCATTTCAGTTTTTGCATTTGTATCTTTAATGCCTGGCATACAGTAAGCGCTTAATAAATGCTTGTTGCTTCAGGTACAGAAACAGAGCCTCACATGCAGTTGATCCAGCTACAGGGTTCACTGATCGTATACAGACTGATCTATTGAGGGGGCACGTTTCCTGACTGCCTTCTCTCACCTGGAGTGTCCAAATTGCTTTTGATTTAGAGATATGAGGCAGGACAATTCCAGTCACCCAGCTGTGCCCAGAACTTTACAGGTGTTTCTGGATGGTGCAGGAAGGTGAGGGTTGGTGGAGCTTCATACTGATATAGACAGAGGGAGCTGGAACCCTTTGAAGATATACCCCAGCCACCTCTGCACATGCCATCCCTGAGAAGGCAGATAAAGATAAACACAGGGATTGAAAGGAAGGAAGGAAACAAGCATTAATTAAGTGCTTGCTGTGTGCCAGGCACTGTGTTAAGCAAAAAGAAAGACAGTCCTTGCTTTCGAGAAGCTTACATTTTTAAAAACAAATTTATTTTTCATTTTGAATATTTACTTCCATAAGATTTTGAGTTCTAAATTTTCTCCCCTTCCCCCCCCCCGAGACAGTGTGCACTCTGATATAGGTTATACATGTACAACCATATGAATTGATAGTATTTTAATTTTATTAGTTTTTCTTTCTCCTGGTTTTTCCTTTTGGTTCTAATTATTCTTTACAACATGAAAATGAAGGCAGGCCTGCCCAAGCTCTGACACAAAATGGGGGCTCCACCAGGAAAGCTGACCAGTGAGAGAAGGGGGGCAAGCCTGGTGAAGGAATATTCCAAGCAGAGCAGCTCACAGGAGCAGTGGACTGTTCCAGGGCAAGGAGGGCCCCCATCATCCGTATGATTTTCCCCATTTCTCAGGTGAGTAAACAGAGGTTCCGAGGTAGGCAACTCTTTCTATAATAATAGGAGTTCAAAGAAGGAAGAGGGTGGGGGCCAGATTTGAATTAGGTCTTTAAGGATGGGTAGAATTTTGATAGGCACGGTGAAGGAGGGACAGCATTCAGGATGAAAGAGGCAATAAGGCTAAAGATACCAAGGGATCTCTAAGGTCCCTACTGGCTGGTACTCTGTGAGTGAGTGTGTGTGTGTGTGTGTGTGAGCATATATGTTTGTGTATATTGAGTATGCATATATATATGCACGTGCATGTATATGTGTGAGCATATGTGTATGTATGAGTATGTATGTGACCATATGTGAGCACATGTATGAATATGTATATATGTGCAAGCATGTGTGTGTGAGCATGTGTGAGCATGTGTACACAAGTATGTATACATGTGTATATATGTGAGCATGTATTATATATGTATATTTGTATGTGAGTATGTATGTGAACATGTGTGTATGTATGAGCATGTGTGAGTGGGTATATATGTATATGTGTATGTATATATGTGAGTGTGTATTATGTATTGAGTATGTATATAAATATGTGTGTATATAAGTATGTGTGTGAGCATATGTATGAGCATGTGTACGAGTATTATGTGAGCATATATGTATTGAATATGTGAACATATGTGTATATGTGTGTATGAGTATGTATGAGGATGTGTGCATGAGTATGTGTATATGTATATGTGAGTATGTATATGAACATATGTGCAAGTATATGTGAGCGTGTATATGTGTGCACAAATATGTATATATGTATATATGTGTCTGTATATGTATATATGTGAGTATGTATTGTATATTGAGTATGTAAATGTGTGTGCATGTGTGTGTGTGTGTGTGTGTGTGTGTATGTGTGTATTCAGCACTGTGTGGAATCCAGAAGATGAGTTCCCAGAGTTGCTTTGTACCTTGCTTTCCTTTGCCATAGGAGGGACTATAAGAGAATTGAAGCCAAAGGCCTTTCGTGGCTATCTCTCCCTATCCCCCACCCTTGCCCCAATCTTTAATATATACATAACTTGAAGTCATAAATGTTGATTAGCAAGACCAGGACAAGACATTTTTGCACTCTGGTCAAAGTTTGGGCCTTCTGTGTGAGTCTGACTGCTGAAGGCTTTAGGCCTTCCCTGAAATACATTGAATCATGGGATTTAGATCTAGGAGAGACCTTGGGCCTCTTCTAGTCTAATTCCCTTATTTTACACAACAGGAAACAAAGTCTCAGATAGGGGAAGGGCCTTGCCCCAAGCCCCAAAGAGAGTAAATATCAGGGGTGGGATTTTGAAGTAAGAAGTCAAATGGAACATAGGAGTATAGTGGAAAGAGCACATGATGTAGAGTTAGAGAGCCTGGGCTCTAATATCATCTCTGATACTTACTAACTGCCTTTAAAAATATATGCATGTATAAAAAGGCATATAAAAAAATAATGTCCCTTATTGCATCTCCACTCCTCTCCCCTGCCCCCATGTCAGGCCCTAAAGGACTAACTAATTCGCCTCGTGTAGTCCTGCTCTGAGGATTGTCATTTCCTGACATAATTTAGTACCAATAGTTTCAACACTATGCCCAACCATAACAGCATGGTAGAGCGCTCTTGTGAAAACTATATTACTTCCTTTTTTTTGTCATAGTCTTCAGGGAATCCGGTGATTCTTTTTAAAAATTTTATTTTTTCTCAGTTACATGTAAAAACAATTTTAACATTCATTTTTTATAATTTTTGAGTTCTACATTCCCTCTCTCTTTCCCCTTCCCCCTCATTGAGAAGGCAAGCAGGTTGATATAGATTATACATGTGGAGTCATGCAAAACCTATTTACATATTAGCCATATTGCAAAAGAGAACATGGACCAAAAAAAATCCCAAGAAAAAT